GTGGCGAACCACACAAGGCCCCGATAGGTTAGGCGTGGTAGTGAACCGGACGACAGCAGAGCTGCCTACCACCAAAGTCCGGAGGTGGTAGCGGGTCTCAAACTTCGGACCACAGGGTCCGAAGCACGCCACCATCACCCAATGACAAAATTGAAGAGAAACGTATTCCACTGATGACAGGAAATGAGAAAGAGTTCGTCGTATGCCTTATTCTCTCCCGAGGTCTGGTGGTAGAGTGCTTTCAGAAGCAGGAAAAACTTCTCGGGTATTCCAGTTCCAAACAAACAGTTTCATAGTGCGGTCCCATTGACAGAGTCGAAGGTCACGCAGATGTCTAAAAACACAACGATTGTTGGTCTTTGATAGGCATGACGGTGCTCTAACAGCTGTCGGTGTGAAGATTAGATCGGTACATCCACCATCGGTGCGAAACTCAGCCTGCTCTTCATGCATAGTGTACAATCGGCGGAGAATGACGGACGTCAACAGCTTTGATGAGATCGGGATCAGATTTAAACCCCTATGATTAGCGCAGTCACTGCTCGGGTTCCTTTTTTAAGATGGGGACGACCATTGATTTTCTCAGTCTCCAATGAATCCACGCCAGTGGTGGCTGATGGTGATGTGATCTGTTTGAGTCCAGCGCTGTGAAGAGGTTGGCAGTCTCCAGGTGAGGCGGTCCTTTTTTGTGAGAAAATTTCGTGCTAGACAGGAGCAGTCCGTGGTCAGAGTAAATGTGGAGTAGGCGTTCTCAATTGTCCGTCCGGTTAGCTGCGATTGTATGAGAACCACCAAGCCTTTCTAATTCATCCAGGGATTCAATGTGAGCACTGAAGTCTCTAGAGACTACCACGATGACTGTTGATCGAGCACTTCGGAGCAGTTGAGAGCGGCCCTCGTAGAACTCATTCTTTATTAATGGTGAATTGCAATCAATCGGTGCATGCGGTGATACGACGAATAAGCACTGACCCTTCGTTCTGTAGCTATTGATTTGTCCC